AATTTCCATCTGTTGTCTATCCCATTTGCACAACAGCATGTGAAATTGATTGTCACTCAGTGTTGATTCCTAAGTGGACAGTTTGATTTAACAGAAGTGTGATTGACTTGGAGTTACATTTGTCACGGGTGGCGGTACGGAAACCTGGACCCCTGAGTGCCTGATGAGAAGTGGGAGTCTTCAATGTCAAAGTGGATTACAGGGCCTGGTGCAGGGTAACCACATGCCCTCTGGTCTTGAGCACCAGCGTTTGTGCGGCCACATACCAGAACCCTGATGCAGTTACAGCGGATCCCAGGAACTTGAAGCTAGGAAGTAAGCAGACCTCCCAGGAACTGGATAGGGGGGCTCTGCAGCAGACATGTATCCAGTACAGAAACAAGGCAAGGCTAGAATAGTCACCAAACATGAAAACAAGACAGAAGTAATAGAATCCAGAACCAGAGCAGGACAGAAAGCAGAACCCAGGATGTGTACACAAGACATGAGGAAAACAACAACAGGGCAGGACAGGACTGTACATGAACTGGGATTACAAAATAAAACAAGACAAGATATAATAGGCAAAACAAGAGGAGACATAACTAAGCACTATATATGAAAAGTATGGGGAGTTAGTTACATAAGCCTGCCACAACGCCAATGTACCCCATATTCTTCCTACTCTGCCTAATGTTCACTAAAAGAACCATACTAAACCACAATAGCACTTACCTGCAAGAAAGGGCAGAGACTTGAAACACTGCTGCAGGTCCAAACTGAAACAAAAGGAAAATGGAAAACAAACGGATGTGGCAACATAAAAAAACATATAAATGAATTCAGGAGACTGGGAATTCCAGGGACGGATTACAGGAATGAACCCAGAAAAACCAAGCATAAAGAAAACCAGACACAGAATAGAAAACCAGAAAAACCAAGAAAAACTAAACAAGAAATGTTAAAAGAGTACTGGATACCAGAAGCCAAAGTCAGACATCTCCGCAGAACATGGCATGATGTGACATAACTCCCCTCTTAAGGAGCGACCTCCAGGCGCGACAAGCAGCTCTCAGGCAGAAACCAGGAAAGAAGCGAGGATCCAGCAACTAAGTCCTCAAGACTTACCGGAGGCAAGGATTCCCCGACACAGCAGGAAAGTAGTTTGCGGCTCACAATGCCATTCCGAACTACTTTACTTCCTTTGGAATGGTCTCCTGCAAAGGAACCACCAGCCAGGACCGAGATCCACTTCAGTATAGGAGCACTGCCACGAAACAGGAACCAAGCATCACAAGAGAACACCTGAAGCGACCACCGTACCGCTTAGCAGATCGACCTCCTTCACGACAAAAAATAAGGAAGCCATCTCCAGCAGACTGGTCCAGATACAGGATCTCTTGCATGTCAAATAACCAACAGGAACTAGAACAAGAAACCAAGCATCACAAGAGAACACCTGAAGCGACCACCTTACCGCTTAGCAGATCGACCTCCTCCATGACAAAAAATAAGGAAGCCATCTCCAGCAGACTGGTCCAGATACAGGATCTCTTGCATGCCGACCAGACAGGAACAAAAGCAGGACAGGAAAGCTGCATGGTCCACTCCACGAATTTCAAGTGCCTACGGCCATCTGTCACGGGTGGCGGTACGGAAACCTGGACCCTTGAGTGCCTGATGAGAAGTGGGAGTCTTCAGCATGGAAGTGGATTACAGGGCCCGGTGCAGGGTAACCACACGCCCTCTGGTGTTGATCACCAGCGTTTGTGCGGCCACATCCCAGAACCCTGATGCAGCTACAGCGGATCCCAGGAACTTGAAGCTAGAAAGTAAGCAGACCTCCCAGGAACTGGATAGGGGGGCTCTGCAGCAGACATGTATCCAGTACAGAAACAATCCCTGTAATTATGTTATAAAACCATACTTAATTTGGTGCCCCACAAACTGCCCACATTTATAGATCAAGGGATCGCCGAATGCAAAAACTCTAACAGAAAAAGAGTTAATGTAATCAATTAATGCAATCAAATGTGTCACACAATGTTACTCTCATGTGGAAGCCCACAGAAAATTGATTTATAGATACCTCATGCCAAACTGGCTCCATAACATCTATTCCACTGTCCCCCCTTTTTACTGGAGATGTAGGATAGACGAGGGAACCATGTCACACATTTGGTGGAGTTGCCCACATATCCGAGCACTGTTGGACATGGTGCAGGATGTTTTACAAGCCCTAAATATAACAGAACCTTCCATTGACATACGCACAGGTCTGTTTCTTCTCTTCCCGAAAGGCACAACAAGCAATTTGCCCACCCAAAACACAATTGCTATCTAAAATCAATCAATACTACACGTATAAACACATCTATAAATACCACCTTGCAAAAAGATTAATTTACTCAATCTTTGCGGCCTTGGTTAGACTACCTTCGGGTCGCATCATAGGGACAATCATGAGAATCCTGACCCACACCGCAACCTCACACCGTGTACACTTTTCTCTGGTTCGGTGGTTCATGTTGAACTTCCTCATGTTACAATGCTCAGAGTTTTCAGACAATATGCATTTTACCATAACTCCTTGTTATTGAATCTATGGACCTAAACCATTACAAAGATACAGAAACAAGAATATATTACAATAGTTACAGGCTGTCTACTGACATCCCTCAACTCAACACACAATGACCCCACTTAATAGGATTCAATGAGCATCAAACCACCAACCAAGCTTGAATGTGTTATGTCTACGTAAACCCACCTGCTATGTCACATACAACTATCTTATCCTACCAGTACCATGCCGATCAGATTTAAACCCATCTCCATGTTTCTTCTGGCATCATACCTGCTTTTATCCGCCTCTTGAAGGAATGATCAACTCGCAAACCCTTTACGCCAGGGTATAGGCTGCTGCTAGAGATGAGCGAACCAGAACTGTAAAGTTCGGATTCGTACTGAACATTACGATTTTTCGACCCCGGACATTTCAGTGACAGTTCGGGTTCGAGTTCGGTGTTCGGCGATTTAATGGCGGGTTTTGAAAAGCTGCAGGGCAGCCAATCAACAAGAGTTTGACTCGTGTGCCCTTAGAAGCCATCACAGCCATGCCTACTAATGGCATGGCTGTGATTGGCCAGTGCAGCATGTGACCCAGCCTCTATATAAGCTGGAGTCACATGAGCTCTTATTAGTGTAGGGAGAGGATGCTGCAGCTGTGAGGGACAGATTAGGAAAGAATTCTGGTGTTGAATCTGCAAACTACAGCGATTATTTTTTTTGGGTTCTATACTATATTTTTGTACCCTGCCCTGAGCCCAGTGCCACAGAGAAATAAGCAATCAGTCTGTTTGTTAGGTGGGCACTTGCAACTGCATGTGTGCCAGACACATTACTTTAATCCTGTTCTGGTAGCTCAGTGGGCAACATCTAGGCATTTTTAAATACTGCTGTGACATTGCAGTTTGACAAATTCAAATTTTTTGGGTGCTAAAAAGTAAATTTGTGGCGTGCCCTTTATATCTGAGAGTCAAATAGAACCGTCAAATACTGCTGTGACATTGCAATTTGACAAATTCAAATTTTTTTGATGCTAAAAAGTAAATTTGTGGCATGCACTTCATATCTGAGAGTCAAATAGAACCGTCAAATACTGTGGTTACATCGCAGTTTGAAAAATTCAAGTTTTTTGGTGCTAAATAGTACATTTGCTGCCTGCGGTGCACTTCATATCTGAGAGTCAAATAGAACCGTCAAATACAGTGGTTACATCGCACTTTGAAAAATTCACATTTTTTTGGTGCTAAAAAGTAAATTTGGGGCGTGCACTTCATATCTGAGAGTCAAATAGAACAATCAAATACTGCTGTGACATTGCAGCTTGACTAATTCACATTTTTTTGCTGCTAAAAAGTACATTTGTGGGATGTACTTAATATCTGAGAGTCAAATAGAACCGTCAAATACTGTGGTTACATCGCACTTTGAAAAATTCTAATTCTTTTGGTGCTAAATAGTATATTTGCTGCCTGCGGTGCATTTCTTGCAGTCCAATAAAACCCTTAAATACTGCTGTTATGTTGTTGGTTTAAAAAATCACACTATTTTGTGTTAAATAGAACATTTGCGGCCTGCGGTGCATTTCTTGCAGTCCACCCACGATCCCTGGCCCTGAATGCCAGCATTTCAAAATTCCTGGCCTTTGAAATGCTGTCATTCCGTCTGGTGGAGATGGACAGTTTTAAAAACCTGATGGCGGTGGCTGTACCACAGTACGTGGTTCCCAGCCGCCACTACGTTTCCACGTGAACCATCCCTTCCCTGCACAACTAATTGGCGGACAAAATCAGGTGTGCACTGCGCAACGCCATATGTGGCAAGGTCCACATAACCACTGATACGTGGACCAGTAAGCACGGGCCGGGAAGCTATATCTCCCTAACTGCACACTGGACAAATGTAGAGGCGGCTGGGCCTGAGGCGCATAGCAGTTTGTCCTTCCGCCACCGAGGATTGCAGGGCATTTCTCTTTGCCTCTTGTTGCCTCCTCCTACTCCGCTTTCTCCTCCTGTACCACCTCCTCATCCGGTCAGAGTAACACCTTCACCACCAACTTCAGCACAGCCGGGGGAAAACAAAAGCAGGCTGTTTTAAAATTCATATGTTTGGGGGAAAAACCCACACCCAGTGGTTGTTGCCACTGAGCCTCAAGCCTGGCCTGGTGGTGTGCGATAATGGGCGAAATCTCGTATCAGCTCTTGGCCTAGCCCGTTTGACGCACATCCCTTGCCTGGCACATGTGCTGAATTTGGTGGTGCAGAAGTTCCTGAAAAACTACCCAGATATATCAGAGCTGCTGCAGAAAGTGCACGCTTTCGTCATTCTCACCCTGCTGCTGCTTGCCTGTCTGCGCTGCAGCATAACTTCGGCCTTCCCGCGACGTGCCCACAAGGTGGAACTCCACCTTGCACATGCTGGAGAGACTGTGCGAGCAGCAACAGACGATAGTGGATTTTCAGCTGCAGCACGCACGGGTCAGTCGCTCTGCACCAGACTTGCCCTCCAATAGATCCTCGTTAAAGGATTTAAAGTGTACACATTCCAATTACAGGGCCTCGAAAGAGTCCTGTATTGTTATTTCTCGTCACTACCTCCCGCATCGGGAAGTGGGTAATTTGCGCGCCTGCTGCCTTCCTTGGATGTGATAGCCATTTCTCAGGCTCCCTCTCCGGAATCAAACCCTGATTCCCCATTACCCGTGGTCACCATGGTAGGCGCAGAAAGTACCATCAAAAGTTGATAGGGCAGACATCCAAATGCGTTGTCGCCGTCACGGGGACGTGGGATCGGCCTGAGGTTATCTAGAGTCACCAAAGTGCCTGTGCAACGACTGCCGAGTTGCCCACATTCTAACTTGTGCTGATTACTAGGTGGCCACCCTGCTTGATACCCGTTACAAGGACAACGTGCCATCCTTAATTCCCTCACTGGAGCGTGATCGGAAGATGCACGACTACAAGCGCACGCTGGTAGACGTGCTGCTGAGGGCATTCCCAACTGACACTGGAGGAGGAAGAGGTCGCCAATGCAGCTGGGGCACCGCCAGCACCTCAGAAGGCAGAGTTAGCATGGCCGAAATTTGGAAAAGCTTTGTCAGCATGCCACAACAACCAGCACCACCAGCTAATATGGAACGTCTTAGCAGGATGCAACATTTCAGCAACATGGTGGAACAGTATGTGTGCACACGCCTACATGTACTGACTGATGGGTCTGCCCCATTCAACTTCGGGGTCTCTAAATTGGGCACATGGCCTGAGCTTGCCCTTTATGCCTTGGAGGTGCTGGCCTGCCCTGCAGCCAGTGTATTGTCTGAACGTGTGTTTAGCATGGCAGGGGGCATTTCACAGACAAGCGCAGCCGCCTGTCCACAGCCAACGTGGACAAGCTCACGTTTATTAAAATGAACCAGGCAAGGATCCCACCAGACTTGTCTGTACCTTGTGCAGAATAGACATTTATATCGGCCTAACCCAGTCATTGTTATACTTAAGTGCACTTATTCTTTGTTTTCTTGTTTTATATGTCTCAATATTTTGGGGGCTACCCCAATTGTTTGCAGGGCACTTGTCCCACTCTTACCACCATTTTACTTACTTTTGCAGCCCTCTAGCCCTTTCCAGGACTTTTTAAAGGCATTTTAGTGCCCAAAAGTTCGGGTCCCCATTGACTTCAATGGGGTTCGGATTCGGTGTCAAGTTCGGCTCAAGTTCGAGGCCGAACTCAAACTTTTTGCCGAAGTTCGGCAGAACCCGGCGAACCCGAACATCCAGGTGTCCGCTGATCTCTAGCTGCTGCACAAACCTACGCAGTACTCCAAGCGTTAAGAGAGACCTTTTGTGAAACCAAAGCAACTCTACCAATGACGTGACCCATTTCAATCAATAAAACTAGTTTCTGTCACAAATCTACCCACACTCATGAATACCACAAATGCTCCCAAAATGGGAAATATATACGGGAAACATGAAGATCATGTATGGGTTTTGGCAGTGACTTAAATGTATGATGTTCCCATGCCAAATCAGGAAACCCGCTGGACTCTTGTCGTATACATTACAAAGAAAACTATATACCCTCACATGAAATGCAAGATACCAGTGACTAATTAAAAGATCTGATGTGGTGCACCAGCTTACCGTACCTCACTGTATACCACTATCTAAGTTTGTTACCTCATTCCAGGTATTGTGGTGCATATCAAAATGATTTAACCCTTACCCACTCTCACCTATCTATTTCTGTATGCCCAGGGCCGGACTGGCCCACCGGGATACCGGGAAAGTTCCCGGTGGGCCGTCGGCACCTGGAGCCGGGCAGACAGCTTGCTCACCTGTGGCCGTATGGGGGAGCTGGCTCTTCTGGCGGCCGCAGGGGGAGCTGGCTGTTCTGTCTCTGCTTCCCCTCCCCAGCACACTACAAAGAGACCGGGGCCGGAATATGATGTCATATTCCGGCCCCGGTCTCATTAAGCGGCGCGCTGGGGAGGGGGAGCAGAGACAGAACTGCCAGCTCCCCCTGCGGCCGCAATCAGAGCTCCCCATGCCAGTACACAGGTAGCAATTATGTGTGTGAGCATATGTGTGTGTGTGTCATTTGTGTGTGTGTCTCTCATGGTGTGTCTGTCTGTGTCATGGTGTGTGTGTCTGTGTCATTGTGTGTGTCTGTCTGTGTCATGGTGTGTGTGTGTCTCTGTCATGGTGTGTGCGTCTGCGTCATGGTGTGTGTGTGCCTCTGTCTATGTCATGGTGTGTGTGTGTGTCTGTCTGTGTCATGCAATGTGTGTCTGTGTCATTGTGTGTGTCTGTGTGTGTCTCTGTCTGTCATGGTGTGTGCATCTGTCTGTGTCATGCAGTGTGTGTCTGTGTCATTGTGTGTGTGTCTGTCTGTGCCACGGTCTGTCTGTGTCATTTTGTGTGTGTGTGTGTATGTCATTGTGTGTGTGTGTCTGTGTCTGTGTCATGTAATGTGTGACTGTGTGTAACGGTGTGTGTGGGTCTGTGTTACGGTCTCTCTGTGTCGTGGTGTGTGTGTGTCATGGTGTGTGTGTCTGTCTGTGTCATGTAATGTGTGTCTGTGTCACGGTGTGTGTGTGTCTGTGTCACAGTCTGTTTGTGTTATGGTGTGTGTGTGTGTCAAGGTGTGTGTGTGTGTCTTTTTTAAGGTGTGTGTCTGTCATGGTATGTGTGTATGTGTCTGTCATGGTATGTGTGTGTCTCTGTCATGGTGTGTGTGTGTGTCTCTGTCATGGTGTGTCTGTGTTTCTGTCTGTGTCACGATGTGTGTGTGTTTCTGTCTGTGTCACGGTGTGTATGTGTCTGTGTCATGGTCTGTCTGTGTCATGGTGTATGTCTGTCATGGTATGTGTGTGTTTTTACTCACCTTTTTTTTTCTCGCACGTCGTGCTGGTCTCCCCTCGACTGGCCCTGCCTCTACGGCTGAGATCTCAGCCAATCCGCACTGACACAGGAAGCACCTCTAGTGACCGCCTGAGTGTCTGTCAGTAGGAAGCAATGTAAACACTGCCTTTTCTCTAAAAAGTCAGTGTTTACATTGAAAAGACTGCAGGGACAGGCTAGAGACACCAGAGACACTACATTAAGCTGTGTGTGTGTGCGCGCCTGCTAGTGAGTGGGCTTGCTTGTGTGTGTGTGTGTGTGTGCCTGCTACTGAGTGAGCTTGTGTTTTTATGTCAATGACCTTATGTATATCAGTGAGATTGTTTGTCTATGAGGCTGTGTATCAATCAGCTTGTGTCAGTGAGATTGTCTGTGTCTGCATGTGAGTATGCTTACTGTATAATTAAAAATTTTACTCTGAAAGGACCAATATTTTATATTGGAAAAAGCAATATATATATATATATATATATATATATATATATATATCATCTAAGGTGGCAATATCCACGATAGCCTTACATATTACATGCGACAATATATGGCGCAATGACTTATGAGGCTGGCGTAGATTTTTTTTTTCCAGGGCTGCTTTGGAATCCCCAGTCCGGCCCTGTGTATGCCCCTTTACAATATACATTCAATAAAACTAAAGTGTTAACAGTGCAAATTCCAGTAGAAATTGCCACTCTTATATTTGGTGGCCAAAATACCTCCATGGCTGTCAAAAAACCCAGAGGGGTCTTCTTTGTCTTCCTCTAGCTCCATGGAGTTAACAAAAGCAATAGATGCTCTGTGCTAGTGCCCACATGCCTTCCCCCATTCTACTACTAGCTGTATTACAGCTCATTGAGAAGCATTTCAAAGCGGCTGATTGGAGTTAGAAAAAGGGATGCAAAGGCTGCCGACAAGAGACATGTAACTTTTGTAAGCTATTTTCAGATACCCCTAATGAAAAAAATTAAATAGTAAATGCATGCATGCTTCATTGGCAGTATATTGAAAAAAATATTTTTTTTTTCACTTGAGAGTTCCTTTAAATAAATTGGTTGTTTCTATTTGGTATCATGAAAATATTAATTCTAAGCACATACTATGAGTGAAGTTTTAATCCAATATCCACGATCACACAAATGTCAAAGTTTTCCTGCTCACATTCAGTCATTCTTTATATAATTTCAGAATATGAGTTTAATTGAGGAAGAGAAGTAATATTATTTTAAGATTTACGCATTTAGATCAATATAGTCCAGATGTTATTCACATGGAACATTAAGATAAAATCGGGCAATAAGACATATACAAGATGACAAAGTATTGAGAGGTTATTGACTTTGTAACAGTTGAGTGACATTTCCTCAATAAGAATCACTTCTTTTTAAAAACAAATTTCTCAAATCAATGGATTTGTCTTATTAGCCAAAATGTCTCTTTCCTGTTTTTTTTTCTTCCTTTGTTCTCTTCACGTTTAAAAGTTATGATTAAAGGTATAGTTTGCTTGATATATGTAAAATGACAACTCAGATATCGCTAGCAACAGTTAACTGTATTTTGTTTACCGTTTATTTATTTTTTATTAGTTATCTTTAAATTCCAAATTTCATGTTTAAATTAATCAACAAAAATAAATTAAAGGTGTATATTTTTTTTTTTTTGCCTAGGGAATTATTCTTTTGAAACCTGGACAAGTACCCCCAGGTACTGATGGAGCTCAGAAACTAATGAGACTTTGGATTCATGAAGTCCACAGAGTATTTGGTGATAGACTTGTTAGCAATCAAGACAGAAAAATGTTCTTTCAGATTGTGAAGGTAAAATATATCAACATTTTTATACATTTTTGTAAATATTATTTTATTACATACTTTTATTACAGTAAATGTTTTTATTTATGTATATGTTTACAAAGAGTTATGGTGATGTTAGTCTCTTAATTAGAAGTTATTTCACTAATACAAACAAAAAGCTATGTTTACATAATATAGTTAGAAACACAAACACTAGCTAACCGTAAAAGCAAAATAAAGATCATATGTTATGTAATCTAAGTGCTTTATAAATTTGCAATTCAATGTATAGGCATACTTGTTAAACAGTTAATTCTATTCATGCTGTTATACATTAAAATATTTTAATTTATTATAAAATTCAACATCCTTTACATCCACCAGATATCGAATAAGCCTTATAGAAATATATCATTAAAATGTTAGAAGTTAGAACTCTATTTAAAAAAGGTTACTTTTTCTCCAAAGCTGTTGGCTTCCTATGTCAAGTAATTTTTCCTCACACTTTTCTGAGCACTCACACTCATCCGTACCAAACAATGCAAATGCTCAGAACATCCTTACAACACTTTAGCTGGAGCGCATCTGCTCATTTAAAGACATCTTGAACAATTGCATTGTGAACCTATGTCATATAATAATTGGCAGAGTCAGGGTACGGAAGCAAGCAAAAGTTTTATGTTTGGTTCTGTCTTTG